GTTACATGCACATAAACATACGAGACACACTACTAAACTACTTATTTTGCAGAATTAGAGTACTGGTTATTTACTAGTATTAGAATATTGTCTCTAAAATATGATATAAACTATTTTACAAATTAATTATTTTGCAAAGAATTTAATGAAATTGTACAAACCTGATTTTCTTCATATTCTTGTAAACATAAACAAACGAACGTGGAAAGTTTATGAGATTAGTGAAATTCTTATGTACTGAAATGATATTCTCTATAATCTATAACACTGCTAATTTGTTCAGATAAAGGGGGCATATGTTTCACATTGAATGTTTTGCTTAGAAGGAAAAGGGCAAATACTACCTTATACGTCAGTTTTGGCATACGTTTTGCAAAAAAAGTTGAGAATGAAATGGGCATATTTGTCAAATCTGCCCTTTTACCGTTAATTTAGTTTCACTTAAGACCTTTTACCGCTCATTGAAATTTAAAAATAGTTGTTATGGCCTTTGATTTCTAATCAATAAATGGAATATAGCCAAGATATTTTTACAGAATATGCACATTGCTATTTGTATCACTGATCTTCGGCAAAATGTTAGTTACGACCTTTTACCACTCAGGTGACGTTATGTTAACATAAATAATCTGGAGGCGAGAGACACAGTATATATTATTTTGGAACACAATTTGATAGACTGTTGGCTTGTTCTAGTCAATATACATGGTTTAAACGTAATCCAGTTCGAGCGATTTAACAAATTAAACAATTAGTACAGCGTATTATTCAACAGTATACCTCGGATGATCAAAATCAATCTGTAAACGACTCTGTTACTATTCAAAATATTTCGCTATCTATTGATGAAAAGTTATTTTTAGAGACATTGTTAATGCAAATTCGCGGTCACACAATTTCTTATGCCACTTTTAAAAAAAGACAGGACAATATCAATGAGAAAATATTAACGTTTTACAACAATGCACTAATACAGAAAATGAACTCTCGCAATCCGATAAATTAGGTGTTATCACATGTATACCGAAAGGTGACAAAGATTAACGTTTCTAAAAAAATTGGCGTCCGATTGTGTTGACAAAACAAGGGCTTTATGGATAGGTTCAATGAGAAATAGCGATTTAGAGTACAGAAGACTACTTTCTCCTACAGGAAAGATCACAGTGATTGCTTTGTCTAAATTAACTAACCTATTTTTAACTTTACCAAACCCTAAAACTGATGTAATTTAAGACTTACAAAATGTAGTTTTCAAATTTATTTGGAATGATGGATCGGATAAAACTCACACAAGATATATAGTAATAGTGGGTCTAATAGCGGTTGACATTTCATCAGTGCTTTGAAAATCACTTGGATAAGAAGACTTTTCTCTTCAAACACTTGTTCAAGAATTGTGTCCATCTCTTTACCAGTCGACCAAATATGGCAGTGTCTATTTGTTACAAAACAAAAGTACAGTAAACAGTTTTCCTTTTGTTTTATTTCAATGTAAGATTTGTTCAGGTAATTGGGCAGTTTTCTTGTCCAATCCAGTATTTCAGAATTGCAGGAAAATCGTTTGAATTTAAACACTACTCAAGAAAAGGTACGTTTGTCAACGATTTTGTAAATGAAAATGGGTTGTTTCTTAGTTTTCAAGAATTTCAAAGATTATTAGTTAAAACTTTCTTGAATACGTTCCTTCAGAAAAGCTTTGACGGATTTTCATGTAAAGCAAAACGATATCAAAGTAAAAAAACCGATTTTGCCAATTGCCATCCAAATACTTAACAAAAGTCGCAAAGGATAAAAATACTGAAATTAAACGAATTGCCGCAATATATATTAATAAAAAATATCAATATTTAATCAGTACCAGCTAATAGTTCTTCTTACTAGCTTAATGTAAAACAATAAACTAGGATGTATAAACCAACTAATTAAATCAATACATGATGTGCATTTCACAACAAAGTATTCCGCATCAGTCACGAAAAAACAAACAAACAAAAACACAATCATTAACAAGTATATGTATTTTTTGAGTACAGTATCACTGCGGTATACCGTAGATTGCTCGTAGATTGCTCATATTGCTCGATATTATGAGGACTTTCATGCTATTTCGCGACTTTGAACGAGGAAAGAAGGTAAGCTAAGTGACGATATTTAGTCATTTTGAATTGGGTTGATATAAATTTTATAGAAAAACAAATATTTCGATAATTTTCTAGTTATTGAAAACCCAAAAATGTTGAGAAATAGCTTTGAAATGTAATTAGGAGGTAAAATTCGTCTCTTTGCTCATGTGCTAAATGAGCTCGGATCAGTCAAATTTGATGTTTTTGTGCATATACTTCCTTAAAAGAAAAACTTGAATCGAGTGAAATGTGATTATGATGATAATGTTTATATTGTAAATGTTCAATCAACAATAGAACCTCAGATGACAGTGCATTTTGAGAATAAATACACATGTCAGTGTACCGAGTATTGCGTTGGAGTTGCCCGCCGGTGTCACGAGTATTGCTTTTTAGTGTAACGAGTATTGTTTATCAATATAGAGTAAATGCAAGTAGTAAATACATTTAGTTTTAAATATTTCTTATTGTGTATACTTATTTATACTATATGTGCAGAATATACAGAGTTCGGAGGTACTTTACTGGAAACATCTGCGAATAATCGAGATTTTCATTCCTGCACATGAAAAATCTCAGTCGAACGAACTCAGCAATTTTCTGTGTTTTAAAAGTTCTCGTTGCTATCGAAGGATCAACCTTTCCAGAATTTTTAATAATAATTGCATATCTTATTCTAAATAGTAAAAAAATATCTCATATCAAACGACTTCCTACTAAGCCAAAAATCCATATAATGGTAACTTTCGGTCATTTTGCGCCTGCACTCTAGCAACGGCAGACCGTTTGCACGTGAATTTTTTTATGTCATAGTGCAGTTCAAAAAACCTTATAATGGATTTTGATTTTGGATTTTGGGCAAAGATGCATTAAAAAAGGTTATGTTCCTTATAACCTTAGATGCATTACAAAAGGTTATGTTCCTTATAACCTTTTACCTCATAAAGGCGTGTTTTGGAGGCTTTACACCCCACCCCTTTTGAGGCCTCAAATAGTGTAAAACATGCGCTATTTAGGCCCCAATCACTGTTGTTGCTTTTTTTTCGTTTGAGAAATGTTGTTCAAAAGAGTGATCACTTTTTCGCGCCACCTCCATCCATTCAAAAGGTACATCAAGGGGGATGTGCCCTTCTGTTTCGGTGTTTTAAGTGGGGCCGAGAAGTTTGGGACTTGTGGGGGAGGCTAAAATGGCCTCAGGTCGATTTAAAGGTACCGTGTAATCAACGCCGAAAACCTTAGACTTTATCTCAATCAATTGAGAAGTTGCTGCACCTTGAAGTCAGTTTTGATGGGGAAAACAACGAAAAATAGAGATTTTTGAGACGTCCCCCGTTACCATGGTAACTGGAAATTTAAAACTGAGCATGCTTTTCCACAGGCAATGGTCCACACAACATTTGTGCCCAGCTTGATCAGTATTGAAGCATTTTTTATAGTTTCATAGCAGTTTAAACTTGTAACAAGATGCAATTAAAACAGCCATTTTTCGCAATGCTCATTTATAAGACGATACCGGCATGCTTGGACGGCATAAGCGCTCGGGCCAATATTTTTAAAAAAAATGTGTCGATATGTTTCTTAAGACAAACTTTGACATGTAAAAACCTATTATTAATGTCATCTAAATATGTTTTGTTATTCTTCTTCTTTTCAGAGATGGGTCTCCTTGATCACAGTTTCTTGAGACATGTGTTTAAAGATTTCTATCATCAATTTTGATGGTTCTACCCTGCTCCCGACCCTGCTTCCGACCCTGCACACATTTTATTTCATCCATAGTGTGATTTTCAATCAAATGGGAAATTAAATCTCTGTATTTGCCAGTAGGAAAAGAACAATAATAACACTGAAAATGCATTGTTGAATCTGAAATATTTGAATAAATATCATATAAACAGTACATTATCAGCAAAATGAAATGGAATCGAAAAACAGACGGGAAATTTAGACAAAAATATCAATTTTCCATACTAATGTGCACATTCTTTCTTGCAATACACTGTACACTAATGTTGGGCTATTTTGCAATACTCTGTACACTTGAAATCAATACTCGGTACACTTTCTTGTATCTTTTTTGGCTTGTATCTTTTTGTACTTTCACACTTTTTGCCTGAAATTTGGACAAAGCAAACTTGGATTGTGAATAAAAAAATTGCTCGATTCAATTTTTTTTATACTGGTAATATAATAATTTCTAACGATTGTACATTATTGCGGTCAGTATTTTCTAGTGAGCAGCGGACCGTTTAGGGGTAGTTTTATCAATTTTACAAACACCTGTAATACTTTTACGTCTTTTAGAGCTACAGCAATACCTCTAGATATATAAAACCCGTTTAGATAAAGGATATAGCCATTAGTTTGGAAAATATCGTCGCTGAACTAACCTTCATTCCCCGTTCAAAGTCGCGAAATGAGATAAAAGTCCTCATAATATCGAGCAATATCCGGGGTACGGTATACCGCAGTGAGTACAATACCTTAAACAAAGTGTGGCTTTTGTACAAATGTGTAGATTTACACGAGTCTCGGCATCATTAATTCCCGCTTTCAACGGGAAAAAATTTGGAACATATACATCCAATATATAAGTATAAATTTAATTGTATATGTGTTACAGCTGAACATTATGATGTATTTTGAATGTCTTGATAATATTTTATCCACTTCGATGTTTCATATACAAAACATGCCAATATAACTGCAAACAAGATAATTCAAAAGGTTGTTTTCTCTTGAAATTAATATATTATCTTACAAACTAATTTAGCATTGTTTTCATTTAGAATTTCTTTTAATTTTCCTTAAAGGCTGAACGCCTTGATTTTTACTTCTTGTATAGATTTTTTATATTTTCTTTTACAGGAGCTGTCAAGTTTCGGTTTGTCACATCAGTCAAACACGTGTAATTCTGAAGCCATCCGAAATGAAAGTGAAAATGAAGTTATAGAGGCACCAGATATATCTATTGAGTCACGACTCGACAGATATTTTAGTCTGGTTTTGGATCCTGTTAATCAAGGTAATGCTGACACTTACCAAAATAGTGATGATCCGCAGAGTGACATTGACAATCTGAAACACATTTATGACAGTGGCTGTAAATGTACTAAAAACTGCTTCAGTAACTTATCCTTTACTCAGATTGAAGCAAATATTCTTAATCTAAGGGAAATGACAAAAAATGAGAACCCTTAAAAAGATAAGTTCTGACATAAGATGTAAAGAAGATCGCAAACGCTCCCGTTATGAATATTATTTTGATGGAGTAAAAGTTTGCCATGAAACCTTTCTGGTTGTCTTTGATGTTAAAGACAGGCAACTAAGAAATATCAAACACCATATGGAAGAACACGGTGCTCAACCACGTGTTCACGGTCATACAGGAAGACGTGCTCCAAATGCATTTTCTCCAGACGTTATTAAAGATGCAGTTCAGTATATACTGAGTTACGCGAACGAGGAGGGTTTGCCTCAGCCTGCAGCACTAAGGAAGAGGGATGATGAGGCCCCTATATATTTACCGTCGTCTGATACAAAACATTCAGTGCATAGTGATTACGTTACACGCTGTACGGAAGTTGGGAAGCGGTATGTTGGTTTATCAACATTTAAAGATATATGGAAAAATTGTGTGCCTCATATAAAAATAGCGTCGCCGAAAGAGGATGTGTGTAAACAAGAGCTGTCCGTAAGACAGCGCGCTCGACTTTTTTATTGCTTGCCAAGGCAATACAAGAATCTCTGTATTTTTAAAGTGAACTAGTTGTTTGATACCCTTGAATATTACAGCAATGTTTATATGACATAATTTATGGTAAAGTGAACAAGTGGATAGGAATGAATTTTTTTAGATTTTTTAAGTTTTTTAGTGCTTGCCTATAATACAAAACATTGACAGTTAAGGGCCATAATTCAAATAAAATCTTTGACAGAATTACCTTCTCCTGGACATGTTTGGGAATCATGATTGTAAACAAGTATTCCAACTTTCAAATTAATATCTCAAACAGTTCAGTCAAAAAGTGGACTGGTACTAAAAACTTAACCAAGATTCTAAGTCGATAAAAGGCCTTAATTTTTAAAACAAATCCTTGACAGAGTTACCTTCTCTTGCGTACAGATGGGGGTAATGATGTGAAATAGCATTAAAAGTTTCAAAGCAATATCTCAAAGGGTTAAGGCAATAAGTGGATTTTACCCATATTCAATGTATTTTCTAAGTCAAAAAGGGGCATAATTCTGTCAAAAACCTTGACAGAGTTATGTCCTCTTGTCTGTTGATGAAGGTCGTGATGGTAAACAAGTATGGTCAGTTTCAAAGCAATACCTCCAATGGTTTTGAAATAAAGTGAGGTGGTACAAAAAACTTAACCAAGCTCAATACACTTTCTAAGTCAAAAAAGGGCCATAATTCTGTCAAAAACCTTGACAGAGTTATGTACTCTTGTCTGTAGATGGAGGTTATGATGGTGAACAAGTATGGTAAGTTTCAAAGCCATACTTGTAATACTTCTGAAATAAAGTGGGGTGGTACGAAAAACTTAACCAAGGTGTGACGCCAACGCCGACGCCGGGGCGAGTAGGATAGCTCCCCTTTTCATAGAAAAGTCGAGCTAAAAATGTGAGGACTGTAAACAGGATATTAAGCTTGCCCAGAGTGAAAACGACAAGATAGATGCAACATTGAAATACCATCAACATGTGCTGCAAGCTAGAAAGGAACGTGATCTTTACGTGGAACTTGTAGAAAAATCAAAAGCAATGTTTGTAAACCGGGAACAACACAACCAGGCTGCCGGTGATAACTTTTCTACAAATGACGTACATTATACATTTGACTTCAGTCAGTACCACACCATGCACAAGAAAAGGGACCCACATTTTTCATTCAGCCGAGAAAAGTCCAGGTAGGATTTTCAATCAAACTATGCTAATTATTTATTTTTCATGTATGCATTGTAAATTTTTTTGTTTCTTTTACAATTACTATAAACGTGAAAATTATCTGTTAGTACCATAGTTAATATAAATTTTCTTTGCGTTTTCAAAATCTATACTTTGAATAATTTTTCTATGCAGTAAATGTGAACATGCTGTATCTTTCAGATATTTGGTTTCCGAGCCGATGGCTACAAACAGTACAACTATCTCATAGATGAGGACCAAACAATTGGTAATTAAAACAGTTTTTTGGCATTTCTGTAAAATTATAATAGAAAATTAAATAAAAAATTACTAAATAAATTATTATCCAGTATGTGCATGATAAGCATACTTTAAAGTTTTTTTTTGTTACTGCAATGCATGCAGTATCTTTTTCAGTAACATTTCAAGTAAAACAGGATTGAATCTCATCGTGTCTTCTAAATTACAGCAAAAAATGCCGGTGTAAAATAGTCCCTTAAAACTAAACTTGTTTACTGTTTAGTATTCTTTTTGTTCTAAAATGTACATGTATTGAGATTTAATAGGAAGTAGTAATGATTGAAAAAAAATAGAGTTACTACAGGATATAACAATAACATAATGTAACTTTAGAGCTTTGATTTTTTTTTTAAATTTAGTTTTATTTGATTTTCTCAATTCTTTAACATTATTGTATGTAATTAAATACATGATTTTAAATCTTTCCCACAGGTCAGAATAAGAATAGATACGTACTAGTCTACTTGTCATGGCGTACGATAATTGGATCGCATAGAAATATCAAATACATGATGCAGTTACCAGGACATACAAGGTATCTTTGAATTTTTAATTGTTCTATTCAACGGTTAACAAGCAATTTCGTTAATTATTTAGAAAAGATATTAGTTACGCCGAAAAATATATACTATATTAAGCCTAAATGAGACGAGAACTTGATTTTAAAACATGATTTCTTAATCTCTAATAATATGAAAAAGAAGGAAATGTAAAGCACGAGTTCAGACTCTAAAATCATGTATATAATATAAAATTGACCGGAAAAGGTTTAATTACCGTAAAATATTTCTACGTCATAAGCTAATTGATGGTGTCAGTAAAACATGCGAATGAATGACAAATACACTGCTGATCAAATCTTTATCCTCATTAATATTAATAAGTCAATGGTAAAATTCTCAGGAATTTGAGCTTTACCTCACCCATATATTTGTTTTGCATTTAACTTTATTTATGCAGGTGCTTGATCGACGCGGGATTTGGAACGATAAAGAAGTTGTATCGGCGTTCAAATTGTGATACTCTCCAACACGTGACGGAAGTAGTGCAGAAGTCAGCACACAGTAATGTTCCCGTTACTTATGGTGAATGGATGTGGAAAGGCTGGAAGGTGTTCCTCGCAGACAGATTCAAAAAAGTACCGAACATCTCAAGATATCACCACTTCCGTTTCACGTCACTCGAACATGAAGGTAGCTGCAGATGATACTAATGAAACACGATTTGTAATTTGTAAGACGAACTATCTACAAATGGATAGAAATGACCTTCCATCTGTAATACATCCTGCAGGATTAAGCCGGGAACGTCAGACGTACTTATACCGTCACGTCAGACCACTTGTGAGACGCCCGTTCCAAGATGTTCTTTGCCCAGTTCCCCCGTCAAGCGATGGGCAGTGATTAGTTATACAAATTTCTGTACACTAGTTCCTAAAGTATCAAGTGTCAAGGATATATTTAAGCTGGTGTATCTCATGATAAACTTACTATTCTGTGTACAGTGGTGATTTTGAGTATTTACTGTTGTGCTTCTACGTTTTCGTAGTAACTTATATTTGTGACCTATTATCATTAATACATTTTAATGTTTTTTTTAGATAAATTTAATAATTACAGAAATAGATAATTTTGGATGAGTGTACGTAATTTTTTTACTAAATTTATTGAACGAGTTGAATAAAAATCATATTAAGTGAACCTTATAGCAAAATATTGTTTTATTCAACGACTTCAATAAATTTAGTATTGAATCTACACGAAAATAATATATTTTTTATTTAATAAATAATGATATTTTATTTATTGCATATATAAAATAAGAACTATTAACTGTTAAAAATATCATTTGTCATTTAACATTGACGCGCCTATAGTGTACGCTTACATTAGCGCGCTTTAACGCTATGTTTATATATAGCGCAAATGACGTCACGTCAAAATGTTATTACACTAGTTTAATATCGTTTTTTATTTATAAAATAGCTTATTTATACTCCTGTGCCGCGGTTTATGTGATAAATTCAATTATATTACGCCACACTGTCTCTTTACGTAAGTAAATAAAATACATTTTCGACGTTTTGAAATGATGTTATCAACGTTGACGTTAGTGGCGTTACTTGACGTCGGCTTTTTCAAAGCCGTTACGTTTAAGCTTTTTCGTGCAAATGTGAGTCGAATAAAGTATAGAAAGTTATACATTACAAGAAAATTTAAAAAATGCACTAACGCATGATGGAAAAAGCCGAAAATATCCAAAAATTACTATAACGGCTGTTTATGCTTGGCGCGGCTCACTGCTTCTATTGATATATGTCTGTGGATCAAAATTCCATCAAGATTTCAGACAGAAATTTCAGACCAAAATAGGATGAAATCGCATTACAAATGTTAATGTTAAATCAAAGTACATGCTGCTTCAGTATGACAGGTATCAACTCATTTGATCATTACTATAATTAATTAACACCAAAGTTTGGTTTCAAACGTGATCTCTACAGGCCAGAATTATTACTTAAGTACAGACGATTATTGTCCTATTTTATTCAAAACAGCAATCAAGAGTATAACTGTCCAAAAGATGTAATTGTAAAAACTGTCATTTATTTATTGAAATCACATGCCAAATGTCAAGAAATTGTGGAAAAATAAAATCATAGTTCTGCAAGTCACGGTAAAGTTAAATTCAAATAAGTCATCCTGTGTGAATATGACATTGACTGACTACAAAACAAGCAATTAATTTGATAAACTTCATGGTCAAAATTGTTTTACTACAACGAAGAATTTAACAAAGACTGAAAATCTAGGCTGCATAACTTTTTTTTTGAAAATGTGTTTGAATATTGGGATATATAAGTACAAGAAAAATACATGGAAAAAATTAATGTACAAAATTGATATTGCTTTCTTCCAGACAATTTTCTAGCCAATTAATGCAAGTTCTGTCAAACTTATCATTCTTTTCAAATAATCAAGATTTTGAAGTACATATATTTAAAACTCTGTGTCCTAAATATTGACATTAGTCCTCATATCCTAGTTTTTCCTAGATGACCCACTAGAATAAATCCAGATAAATAAAATTATTGCCAATCATTACTTGTGACCTTTGGTGGTTTATACATATCATATAATAACTAAACAAGCAATTATCATAGTATTGCAAGCAATCCATAAGTCCCCTACCGGTTAGAACCCCAGAAAAATTCTGATGGGCCATTGGCCATTCAATTTTACCAGTGAATGAATGAACTTAAATCTTTTGAGTTCTAAGTTTGTCTATATCACAGTTATGTGTTAAGTTTCTTTGCCTAGTAAGGAAATTATGTTTATACAACCTTGTCATATTATTACGATGTGGGATTTTAAAGTAAATCCTATAAGGAATGAAGAAGTTGGAGTAAAAAATACCAATTTCTCGAAAAGAATCTAAGTTCAAGGGGGACATAATTCTTGAAATAGTCTTTCTAAAGTATATAACCTTCTCAAAAATGTTGAGTGATAATAAAAACATATATATGAAGTTTGAAGTAGATACATTAGGAAATAAAAAAAAAAGACAACATTTTTTTTTCATAAAAATTCTAAGTTCAAGGGAGGTAATACTGATAATTTTTGTGCTAGAGTTGTAAACCTTGTAACATATGATGTGGTTGATGACCAGAAACTTATATTTAAAGTTTGAGGTAAACACCTTAAGAAATAAAGAACTTATAGTGAAAAAGGTGAAAAAATTATATCAGAAATCTTGAAATTCAGGCTATTTGTTGCCATAGCAACCAGAATTTTAGTTTAAACATATTTATTTCCCGAATATTTACATGATATACAAAATACAATACAATCAGAATACAAATATATAATATATTAATAATAATAAACCAGAATTTTCAACATAGGAAGAAAAGAAAAAGATGTGCATAATCTCCATACTGCCATCTACCAATATTTAAAGTTTCATTAAAATATTTCCAGTACTTATTGTGATATCGCGGGATCCAGTTTTGTGGACGGACGGACTGACAGACGGACGGAGGGTAAACCTAAAGTCCCCTTCAGTTAAACCGGTAGGGGACTAATAAACATTTAGATTCTCATTGGAATTTGGATAAGAACTTAGCATGTGTGCACTTTTTTTATCTTTTATTATTGAAATAAGAAGGATTTTATATACACTGAAAATAGAAAAAAAGATTGGTTTTGTTTAAGCATCATGTTCGCTGAAGGGAAAATGTATCTATCAGAGAGGAATCTAACACTGGGGCGGACGGGGATGAGAATCAGACATTTTTTTTCTATGGCTTAAGTACTGAAAGCACGATCATAATACATAATACAATAATCATTATTATAAATATTCAGCTGTAAAATAAACTTGCATTTCTATCAATTGTGAAACTAAAAGTCTAGTAGTTTTCGACTTGGGCCTTGTAAGAAAACAGAATATATGCAAATAAGACAAATACCGTCATATTCATTGATAGCTTCATTGGTTTTAACCTCATCAAGTTTGTTGGTAGACACTTCATTGGTATCAGCTATGTTGCTTATATTTATGTCGTCATTTACATCATCACATTCGACAATATCTACAGTATAAGCAAACAAAAACATGCTATAAGAAATATTCAGGCAGCAATTACTATAATTGGGCTATAATGTCATATATCCTATCTCATTTCAAAATATATCAATGGCTCTCTCAAAAAGTGACCAGTTATCAATAAAAGTAAAACAGTTTTCGAAATGATGACCAAAACACCAAGTCTATAAAGAAAGCAATATTGTCTTATTTCACTGTGAATTAACAGTATGCTAATACAATTGTATGATAAAGGTGTTAAATCAAAGTGCTGAAAGCACTGGGTGCGACGGACATGAAAAGGGAATTGCATAAATGCTGTCAACAAAGGACCAAGGGTTTTTTTTTATTATTTACAAAGGGCAGCAAAATTCTATGCCTGAGTTTTATGGAGCTAGGATAGAAACTTCAAATTATGACTAAAGACATGAAAAGGTTTCATATGAATATCTTGTTATATGTTTAAATGAATACCACAAGTATATATTTGTTGTCCTAAAGATTGATTTTCTTGCAAAGTTTTAAATTAAAATTTTTCTAATCTACAAAAAGACTATTACTCTGTTAAAATGATTGTTAGATTTATGGGATTCAGAGAGTAACCTCCATTTATAATCCTGAAAACATATACAATAAAATAGAAAGAAATTAGCAAGATTAATTTGGTTCAAAATTGTCAATTTGTTTTGTCAAAAAACTATGCTAGAGCCAATAGGCTTTGCAAATTTTATTACGGACGATCTCAAAAATATTTGTGAAGTTACAAGTAAATATTTTAATTGTTTATGAAGTTCTATGCTTTAGAGGCTGAACGTTGCCCCAAAATCTGTAACCAAAGTGGTATGCCAACGCGGACACTCATGACACCAAGATGAGAAGGATAGCAGGACAGTTGAGCTAATGTTTTCATCAGGCTCCAGTCTTTTTCATATACAAGACCTTGCAATATTTTAAATTTTATTTGTTCCATGTTTGGTAACACAGAAAATTCATAAGGAAGTAATATTTTCCTCAAGAGTCAGGGCATTTATAACAATGCACACATATCATGCAGAGTATGAAATAGGTCAAGATTTGTGAAGGGAGAGAGTATCATTCGAATAGACTTACTATTTTATTACAGGGCCGGGCCATAAGAATTCGTAGGGGGGAGGGTGGGGGAGGTATGTTTGAAATGACCAAACTACCTCTTTTGATGAGGGAGGGTCTAGCGGTTCTCCCAGGAAAAAAATGAAATTCATATGTTACCTTATGGCTTTTGGTGCATTTTATTTGCACATTTTGAAACTGAAGTGTCTACATATTTTTCACAAAAATTTTATTTCTGCAAAACAGGAAGAAAAAACTTAATCTACATGTATGGGAAAGCTATGATTTTTAATGAATTTTCCAGAGGGTAAGATATGCTTTACATTAACCCTAAAAAGTGTGCTTTAAGATTAAAATAATTTAAATTTACATCACTTGCACTTCAGTATTGAACAAAATTGCTGAACATATATACGAAAAAATCATCATCACATTCAATATTCAATAGGGGGCTATTTCTGGTTCAAAAGTAAATGTATTTAGATGTACTACGAATAAGTTGCTCTTTCATGCAGTATTTTCTAGGTGCTTAAACTGCATCTACACTGACGGTGACCAAGTGTCTAATTAGTGTCTGCATGTATGTATTTAGTCTAAGCCATAGAATTTAGTCTCGACCAATTGTAAAATGGACTGAAAGAATTTTATGACAGGAAACTCAGTTGGGGTCCAGGTTCAGTGAACAGTGAACCTAGCATGTTGGCACTTTTTTATCTCTTATTATTGAAATAAGAAGGATTTTATATACACTGAAAATAGAAAAAAAAGACTGGTTTTGTTTATGCATTTTGTTTGCTGAAGGGACAAGAGCACCGCTAAGCGGAGCATTATATGTCCGAAAGTGATTTTTTTTTAGTAAAGATGAAGCATTTGTAAGACATTGGAAATTAAATAAAGTATTACCTCTTTCAAATAACAATCCTCCTATGAAGTTTGAATATTGTGGTCCAAATGGAACTTAAGTAATTCCCCTGAAATTATTTTCAGTTTTAAGGTAATAGTGATCTTGACCTTTGACCTTGTGACCCCAAATCAATACATTGTAGGAGTCTTCTACCCAAAATGGACAATCATCCTATGAAGTTGAAATATTGTGGGCCAAATGGAACTTAAGTTATGCCCCGGAAACTGTTTTCAGTTTTAAAGTGATAGTCACTATTACTATCACTATAATTGCACTACTTTGACCTAATTTGTCCAATCCGAAGTACAGCCAAACACGGTTTTATGAATGAAAGTCGTAAGCAGAAAAAGTAGAACGACAAGTTATATAGAAAATAGTAATAATACATTTTAATATAGAGCAAAAATGTTAGTAAAAACATTAGGAAGTAACTTTTATGTGAAAAATATGTGCCAAATATCTTTTGTGGTGAATGAAATAACTTTCTAAATAACGATTCCTCCGCTTAGAAGCAGTATTTTTATCAATGAGATTGTACAGACCCGTTCACATTGTGACCCCAAAATCAATAGGGGTCTTCTACCCAATATGGACAATCATCCACACTGTGGGCCAAATGAAACTTAAGTTATGTTCCGAAAACTGTTTTCAGTTTTAAGGTAATAGTGACCTTTACCTTTGACCTTGTGACCCCAAAATCAATAAGGGTTTTCTAACCAATATGGACAATCATCCTATGAAATTTGAATATTATGGGCCAAATGGAACTTAAGTTATGCTCAAGAAACTGTTTTCAATTTCAAAGTAATAGTGACTTTGACCTTGTGACCCCAATATTGATAGGGGTCTTCTACCCAATATAGACAATCATCCTATGAAGATTGAACATTGTGGGCCAAATGGAACTTGCTCCAGAAACTGTTTTCAGTTTTAAGGTTATACAGACCTTGACCTTTGACATTGTGATCCCAAAATCAATAGGGGTCTTCTACCCAATATGGACAATCATCCTATGAAGTTTGAATACTGTGGGCCAAATGGGAGTTAAGTTATGCTCCGTAAACTGTTTTCAGTTTTCAGGTCATAGTGACCTTGACCTTTGACCTTGTGACCCCAAAATCAATAGGGGTTTTCTACCGAATATGGACAATCATCCTATGAAGTTGGAACATTGTGGGCCAAATGGAACTTATGTTATGTTCCGGAAACTGTTTTCAGTTTTAAGGTCATAGTGATCTTGACATTTGACCTTGTGACCTCAAAATAAATAGGGGTCTTCTACCCAATATGGACAATCATCCTATGAAGTTTGAATAGTGTGGGCCAAATGGAACTTAAGTTATGCTCCGGAAACCAAATTGCTAACTGACGGACGGACAGACGGATGGACGTTACAACATTTTGGGTTTAGGGGCTATTTTCTTTGTTTTCTTAAGGGCTACTAGCCCTTATATAAACCCTTTGATCATGGAATGAACCTATTGTTCTCTTTTGTTCTCTTTACTGTTATATAGCCCCTACACCCAAAATGTTTGCTCAGACAGTCTCACAAAAAGGTACTAGTCTTATGTGACTTTTCCTTTGATCTTTTTGGCCATTTTTAGTCACACAAGGCTTAAAACAAGAGGGCCATGATGGCCCTGAGATCGCTCACCTGTATAAAGGCCCCCGGAACGGGGCCAGTTTAAACCCCAGGGCTTATATTTGAACAAATTTGAAAGACACTCATTAATAGATGTTTCACGATGTTAAGTTTGTTAAGTTTTTACTACACACATAATGAAAAACAATGATTTGCCTCCCCCACCCTCCTCCAGCAGGGCCAATTTTCACTTGAGGGCTTTTATTTGAACAAACTTGGTAGACACCCATAAGAAGATGTTTCATGCTAAACATCTAAGCTCTAGCTCATTGGGTTTTTTAAAAGAAGTTATTTTAAGTTTTTACTTTACACATATAGTTAAAAACAACTAGAACTGCCACTATCATGGCCTGAATACCCCCGCATACCACTTTGTCAGAATCAACAGTGGTCATTTAGAGCTCAAGGACAACCTCCCTGCCAAATCTGAGGTTACTAAGCCAGTGCATTGCTAAGTTATGTATTCTACATGCTTCAAATGTGAAAATGTCAATACATTGCGGACAGGACATTCTTTAGCAATTGAGAAGAAAAGCTTTTTTTTTGTCAAGGTCGCTGTGACCTTGACCTTTGACCCAGTGACTTCAAAATCAATAGGGGTCACCTTATAGTCATGATCAACATCCATACCAAATATGAAGACTGTGGGTCAAAGGAATCTTAATAATGGGTGGACAAACTTTTTGAAGTCAAAGTCCCTATGACCTTGACCTTTGATCCAGTGACCTCAAAATCAAAAGGGGTCATCTCTTAATCATGATCAACATCCATGCCAAATATGAAGACTGTGGGTCAAAGGAATCTAAAGTTATTGGGCAGACAAACTTTTTGAAGTCAAAGTCCCTGTGACCTTTGACCTTTGACCTGGTGACCTCAAAATCAATAGGGGTCATCTACTAATCATGACTAACCTCCATGCCAAATATGAAGACTGTAGGTCAAAGGAATCTTAAGTTATTGGGCGGACAAGCTTTTTGAAGTCAAGGCCCCTGTGACCTTGACCTTTGACCTAAAAATCAATAGGGGTCATCTACTAATCATGACTAACCTCCATGCCAAATATGAAGACTAAGGGTCAAAGGAATCTTAAGTTATTGGGCGGACAAGAAAAAACCGACGGACAGCCGGACGGCCGGACGGACAAGCTGATTCCAGTATACCCCCCTTACAACTTTGTTGTGCGGGGGTATAATGATACCCCTGGGGCGGGGCCAGTTTTGACCCAAGGGCTTTTATTTGAACAAACTTTGTAGACACTGACTAGAAGATGTTTCATGCTGAATATCTAAACTCTAGCTATTTGGGTTTTTTCAAAGAAGATTTTTTAAGTTTTTGCTATACACATATAAGGAAAATCAATGACCCCCAGGGCGGGGCCATTTTGACCCCAGGGCTTTTATTTGAACAAACTTGGTAGACACTCACTAGAACATGTTTCATGCTTAATATCTAAACTCTAGCTATTTGGGTTTTTTCAAAGAAGATTTTTTAAGTTTTTGCTATACACATATAAGGAAAATCAATGACCCCCGGGGCGGGGCCAATTTTGACCCCAGGGCTTTTATTTGAACAAGCTTGGTAGACACCCATTAGAAGATGTTTCATGCTGAATATCTTAGCTCTAGCTCTTTGGGTTCTTAGAAAGAAGATTTTTTAAGTTTTTACTATATGCATATAGGGAAAATCAATGACCCCCTGGGGCGGAACCAATTTTGACCCCAGGGATTTTATTTGAACAAACTTGGTAGATACTCACTAGAAGATGTTTCATGCCAAATATCTAAGCTCTAGCTCTTAGGGTTTTTTAAAAGAAGATATTTAAAGTTTTTTCTATCGGTTGCCATGGCAACCAGAGTTCTTCATAGAATTAAATTCTTTGAACAATTTTTAAAGGTGACCACCAAAGGAACATTCCTGTGAAGTTTGGATGAAATGGGCTTAGTGGTTTATGAGGAGATGTCATTTAAAGTAAAAGTTTACGTACGGATGGACTACGGACGGACGCCGGACGAAAAGCGATCACAAAAGCTCACCCTGTCACTTTGTGACAGGTGAGCTAAAATGACACACAAGTAAAAACAGACAGACAGACGGACGCCAGGTGGTATAACATGATATGACTGAAAGGGCATATAATAACCATTATTATATTTCTATTAATTGTGAAACTAAAAGTCTAGTAGTTTCCGACTAGTTTAAATATTGGGCCCTGTAAGAAAACAGAATATATGCAAAGTAAACAAATACCGTCATATTCATTGATAGCTTCATGGGTTTTAACCTAATCAAGTTTGTTGTTAGACACTTCATTGGTATCAGCTATGTTGCTACTATTTATGTCGTCATTTATAGCATCACATTCGACAATATCTACAGTAAAAGCAAACAAAAACATGCTATAAGAAATATTCAGGCAACAATTACTATAATTGGGCTATAATGTCATATATCCTATCTTATTTCAAAATATATCAATGGCTCTCTCAACAGGAGCACCGCTAGGCGAAGCATTATATGCCCGAAAGTACTTTAGCTGTAGGTTGATTAATGCTTGAGTTATAGAGCGAAAACTGTTTCAAGTTTAAAGATGATAGGAACCTTGATCTTTGACCTTGTGACCCCAAAATCAATAGGAGTCTTCTACCTAATATGGACAATCATCCTATGAAGTTTGAATACTGTGGGCCAAATGGAACTTAAGTTATGCTCCAGAAACCATTTTCAGTATTAAGCTAATAGTGACCTTGACCTTTGCCATTGTGACAAAATTCAAAAGGAGACTTCCACCAATAATGGGCAATCATCCTATGAAATTTGAATACTGTGGGCCAAATGGAACTTAAGTTATGCTCCGGAAACCATTTTCAGTTTTACGGTAATAGTGACCTTGACCTTTGACTGTGTGACCCAAAATCAATAGGGGTCTTCTACCAAATATGGACAATCATCCTATGAAGTTTGAATACTGTGGACCAAATGGAACTTAAGTTATGCTCCGGAAACCATTTTCAGTTTAAGGGTAATAGTGACCTTGACCTTTGACCTTGTGACCCCAAAATCAATAGGGGTCTTGTACTGAATATGGACAATCATCCTATGAAGTTTGAAAACTGTGGGCCAAATGGAACTTAAATTATGCTCCGGAAACCATTTTCATTTTTATGGTAATAGTGACCTTGACCTTTGATCTTTTGACCCCAAAATCAATAGGGGTCTTCTACCCAATATGGACAATCATCCTATGAAGTTTGAATACTGTGGGCCGAATGGAACTTAAGTTATGCTCCGGAAACCATTTTCAGTATTTAGCTAATAGTGACCTTGACCTTTGACCTTGTGACCTTAAAATCAATAAAGTCTGCTACCTAATATGGACAATCATCCTATGAGGTTTGAAAACTGTGGGCCAAATGGAACTTAAGTTATGCTCCGGAAACCATTTTCCGGTTTATAATAATAGTGTCCTTGACCTTTGACCTTGTGACTCCAAAAGCAATAGGGGTCTTCTACCAAATATGGGCAATCATCCTATGAAGTTTGAATACACTGGGCCAAATGTAACTTAAGTTATGCTCCGGAAACCATTTTCAGTTTTAGGGTAATAGTGACCGTGACCTTTGACCTTGTGACCCCAAAATTAATAGGGGTCTTCTACCCAATATGGGCAATCATCCTATGAAGTTTGAATATTGTGGGTCAAATGGAAGTTAAGTTATACTCTGGAAACCAAATTACTAATGGATGGGAGGAAGGACAGAATACCCCCGCATACCACTTTGTCAGAATCAACAGTGGCCATTTAAAGCTCAAGGACAACCTCCCTACCAAATTTGAGGTTACTAAGCCAGTGCATTACTAAGTTATGTATTCTACGTGCTTCAAATGTGAAAATGTCAAAAACAAAACACTGCGGACAGGCATTCTTAAGCAATTGAGGGGAAAAGACTTTTTTTGTCAAGGTCCCTGTGACCTTGACCTTTTACCCAGTGACCTCAAAATCGATAGGGGTCATCTACTAATCATGACTAACCTCCATGCCAAACATGAAGACTGTGGGTCAAAGGAATCTTAAGTAATTGGGCGGACAAGCTTTTTGAAGTCAAGGCCCCTGTGACCTTGACCTTTGACCTGGTGACCTCAAAGTCAATAGGGGTCATCTACTAATCATGACTAACCTCCATGCCAAACATGAAGACTTTGGGTCAAAGGAATCTTAACTAATTGGGCGGACAAGCTTTTTGAAGTCAAGGCCCCTGTGACCTTGACCTTTGACCTGGTGACCTCAAAGTCAATAGGGGTCATCTACTAATCATGACTAACCTCCATGCCAAATATGAAGACTGTGGGTCAAAGGAATCTTAAGTTATTGGGCGGACAAGCTTTTTGAAGTCAAGGCCCCTGTGACCTTGACCTTTGACCTGGTGACCTCAAAATCAATGGGGGTCATCTACTAATCATGACTAACCTCCATGCCAAATATGAAGACTGTGGGTCAAAGGAATCTTAAGTTATTGAGCGGAAAAGCTTTTTAGAGTCAAGGCCCCTGTGACCTTGACCTTTGACCTGGTGACCTCAAAATCAATAGGGGTCATCTACTAATCATGACTAACCTCCATGCCAAATATAAAGACTGTAGGTCACAGGAATCTTGAGTTATTGGGCGGACAAACTTTTTGAAGTCAAGGCCACTGTGACCTTTGACCTGGTGACCTCAAAATCAATAGGGGTCATCTACTAATCATGACTAACCTTCATGCCAAATATGAAGACTGTAGGTCAAAGGAATCTTAAGTTATTGGGCGGACAAGCTTTTTGAAGTCAAGGCCCCTGTGACCTTGACCTTTGACCTGGTGACCTCAAAATCAATAGGGGTCATCTACTAATCATGACTAACCTCCATGACAAATATGAAGACTGTGGGTCAAAGGAATCTTAAGTTATTGGGCGGACAAGCTTTTTGAATTCAAGGCCCCTGTGACCTTGAACTTTGACCTGGTGACCCCAAAATTAATAGGGGTCATCTACTAATCATGGCTAACCTCCATGCCAAATATGAAGACTGTAGGTCAAAGGAATCTTAAGTTATTGGGCGGACAAGCTTTTTGAAGTCAAGGTCCCTGTGACCTTGACTTTTGACCTGGTGACCTCAAAATCAATAGGGGTCATCTACTAATCATGACTAACCTCCATGCCAAATATGAAGACTGTGGGTCAAAGGAATCTTAAGTTATTGGGCGGACAAGCTTTTTAAAGTCAAGGCCCCTGTGACCTTGACCTTTGACCTGGTGACCTCAAAGTAAATAGGGGTCATTTACTAATCATGACTAACCTCCATGCCAAATATGAAGACTGTGGGTCAAAGGAATATTAAGTTATTGGGCGGACAAGATTTTTGAAGTCAAGGGCCCTGTGACCTTGACCTTTGACCTGGTGACCTCAAAATCAATAAGGGTCATCTACTTATCATGACTAGCCTCCATGCCAAATATGAAGACTGTGGGTCAAAGGAATCTTAAGTTATTGGGCGGACAAGCTTTTTGAAGTCAAGGCCCCTGTGACCTTGACCTTTGACCTGGTGACCTCAAAATCAATAAGGGTCATCTACTTATCATGACTAACCTCCATGCCAAATATGAAGACTAAGGGTCAAAGGAATCTTAGGTTATTGGGCGGACAAGAAAAAACCGACGGACGGACAAGCTGATTCCAGTATACCCCCCTTACAACTTTGTTGTGCGGGGGTATAATTATTTTTTTCATTTTAAGTTCAAAGCCCTTAAAACTTTTCAATGTTAACACAAACCATTTTCATACAATGTTCAAGGCACTGAAATTATTCAGTCTTAACCTTTTGAAAATAGCATATTTCATAATGGCTACATACATTTTCACAAAAGTATGAGTGCTGAAACTGAAAGTTCAAAATTTTCCAATATTTGTTGGTCCAAAATCATTGAACCACGACCAAATTCAAACTTAAACTGCTTATTCCTAAGATGTATCTATATTATTTTCAAAGTGAAAGGGACATAACTCTGCCAAAAAAAATCATCAAACCATGACCAAATTCCAACTTGACCTGCCCATTCCTTTGACATATCCATATGTCAAATCTGAGTTCAATATGTAACACTGTTGGGTAGATAATGAACAGAAACTGTAAACTTCATATTATTTTCAAAGTGAAAGGGGCATTACTCTGCCAAAAATCATTGAACCATGACCAAATTCGAACTTGGCCTGGGCATTCCAAAAACATATCCATATGTCAAATTTGAGTTGAATGTGTTGTACCGTTGGGGAGATAATAAACAGAAACTGAAAATTTCATATTATTTTCAAAGTGAAAGGGGCATAACTCTGCCAAAAATCATTGAACCATGACCAAATTTGAACTTGACCTGCGCACTCCTTTGACGTATCCATATGTCAAGTTTGAGTTGAATGTGTTGTACCGTTGGGGAGATAATGAGCGGAAACTAAAAATTTCATATTATTTTAAAGTAAAAGAGGCATAACTCTGCCAAAAATCATCAAACCATGACCAAATTAAAACTTGACCTGTATTTTCTCACAACATATCCATATGTCAAATTTGAGTTGAATGTGTTGTACAGTTTGGGAGATAATGAATGGAAACTGAAAATTTCATATTATTTTCAAAGTGAAAGGGGCATAACTCTGCCAAAAATCATCGAAACCATGACCAAATTCAAACTTGACCTGTATTTTCTCATGACATATCCATATGTCAAGTTTGAGTTGAATGTGTTGTACCGTTGGGGGGATAATGAACGGAAACTGAAAATTTCATATTATTTTAAAGTAAAAGGGGCATAACTCTGCCAAAAATCATCAAACCATGATCAAATTCGAACTTGACCTGTATTTTTTTATGACATATCCATATGTCAAATTTGAGTTGAATGTGTGCAACCGTTACTAAGATAATGAACGGAAACTGATGATGACGGAATGACAGAATGACAGAAGGACGGAACAGGGTATGATGTGGTTGATGACCAAAAACTTATATTTAAAGTTTGAAGTAAACACCTTAAGAAATAAAGAACTTATAGTGAAAAAGGTGAAAATTTTAAATCAGAAATCTTAAAATTCAGGCTATTTGTTGCCAGAGCAACAAGAATTTTCAACATAGGAAGAAAAGAAAAAGATGTGCATAATCTCCAGACTGCCATCTACCAATATTTCAAGTTTCATAAAAATATTTTCAGTACTTTTTGAGTTATCACTGGATCCAGTTTATGTGTTAAATTTGCCATATTTTCAGACTATTTGTTGCCATAGCAACCAGAATTTTCAACATAGGAAGAAAAGAAAAAGACGTGCATAATCTCCATACTGCCATG